TTGTGGGGGACCCTCTCCTTAACCCCACAGGTAGCGATTGTACAATTCTACTGGCTGTGACTGAAATATGGAATGATAATGTTGTGTGTATTAAATCCCAACATATATGCATATTAAGAAATGCAAAGGCCCTGCACTGTGGAGTCAATTCTGACTCATGACAACCCTGTGTAGGGTTTCTAAGGCTATAAGTCTTTATGGGACCAGAGATCCTCAGTTTTCTCCCTCCGAGAAGTTGGTGGGTTTCAAACCACTGACCTTCCAGTTAGCAGCCTATTGTTTACCCGAGATCACCTTCAGGTCTCCTTAAAGGAGGGGGAAGTCAAAATCATGTTATCTTGGCTGGTGGGTGAGAAAACATGAACATGGAGGGGAGTGGCAAAATCACAATCGATGCATTTGGCAATGGGGAAAACACTGGATATCCGTGAGCGGAGCAGGGAAATAGAAAGGTGCCATGAGACAAGGGCAGCATTTCCACACTTAATGGCGTTACTGGCATGTGGCACTCGTTAACTCTGTATCGGGCTGTAGAGCAGGGCTTCACATTGTAGAATGGCTTCTGGCCTCTACCTGCAAGAAGCTGGCAGCACCCAACCCTCATGACAAAAATCACTCCAAGCATTACTAAATCACCCTCCAGGGGGCCTGAAGCAAACAGCTCCCCGGTAAGAGCCACTGAGCAAATGAAAGAGTAGGAAGATAAAGAGGAACTATCTGTTAAAATGATCGATTGTATTCTAGATGTACCTAGACCAGGGATTCTCAGCATACCAGAGTGAATGAGCTGGAGGGAAGCAGCGGTGAACTGAAGTGGGCGCACAGAACCATACAAAAGGAGAGCGTTCCTCCTCTGGCAGCGGTTACTGCCATGTGTGAAGACAAGCCCGGGATTCCCAGCCCCCCACCCCCCCACCACCACCAACCGCAAGGAAAAGTGAAACAAAATCCAGATTTCCTCATAAAATCTTACCGATCAAAGTTTCCTGAAAACAAAACAAAACAAACTTACAGTCTGGATCAGATCTTCAAGCTGCCAGAGTGAGACCTGAAGCCTAGATTAAGCTGGTGGTGGCTCAGCAAGGCTAATTCGTGGATCCTCCCTTACTGGACACACTGAGCCTTCAGGGTGCAGTGGACAACTGCCCGGCTGCTAACTGAAACGTGAGTGGTTCATATGCACTGGCTGCTGCAAGCGAGAAAGATGCTTCCAAAAAGATTCCAAATGCAATCCAAACTCACGACCAGAGGCGATTCGGACGTACAGCCTTGTACACCCTGGGAGGCAATTCTAATCTGTCCTATAAAGTCGCTATGCGTGAGAATTAACTCGAAGGCAATGGGGTGAGCTTGATACGTGGATCAAACAAAACTGTAGGACATTTCTGAGAAAAGGGAGTAAAGTGAACATTCACAGGCACAGAAATTACTAAGTGTAATAACAGTACTAAGATGATTTTTAAACCTAATCTGTTTGAGAGATTTAATGCTGTGTGTAGGCTTTCCATTATAGATGACGTAGAAAGGAGGAGAGAGCAGGTGAACATGAGGACATCGGAGCATCACACTATTCGGAGGAACAAAGGTAAGGAAGTGACTTCAAAGATAAACTACAGGAATGAATAACGGCATCTTCAGAGTTTGGAATCTTGAGTAAGTGATCAAAGAACGTCACGAACAAGACTGTGTAACTAAATTATTTACTTTGAGTTCCCTAGGCAGAAGGAAGGAGGAGTTATCTTTAGATCTAATTGGTTAAAATTAAAAAGGACTGGCAGCTTATCTGTTCCCTCTCCTCAATGTCGGAATACAGGAATCAATTCCATCCATCCCAACTTCCACTTTAGAAAAGAGTTGCCTAATTTAAAATAGTAACACTACCTAATGGAACTTACTGTGGATTTTCTGCATGCAGGCTGATTTTTCACAAGCTATGGTACAGTGAAGTGCTTTCATATGGCCTTTCTAGTCAGAGTCTCCGAATTCTCCCAAAATGTGGGTAGGGAAAATTCAGAGGTTTGCTTTCGACTAAAGTGACTGATGACTGACGATGCCAATTGAATGATTTGTGTTCTACCAAAGGGACAAGCTAGATCACAGTCCTTTCACCATGCCTTAAATCTGATAAAGAGGAGGGCTTATACAATTCCCTAGCCTAGAGGTTTGGGAACCTCACTTGCAATCAAGAAGTATATGAAACACAGGCTGCTCTACGGTCCAAAGAACCAGTATTCCAGTGATGAGAAAAAAAATGTCAAAATACCAAAGATGGTGAAAAATAGTAATTGTCTGGCCAGGCCACAGAGCAAGGCCTGAGCACCTTCGGGCATGGTCTTGACAGTGGAGCTAAGAGAACACTTACCTGTGCTGGGGCAGAAGTGTGATTATGCTTCCTGCAGGCCACGGAGGCAGCTATGCGGGGATTTTCCTATAGCGGGGTAGAGCCAGATGTCTCTGAGGAGCGGCTTACCAGTGGAGCCAGAAGACCTGTAGCACTTGCTTGCCCAGGGCAAGAAAATCTGAGCATGCTCCCATACAAGAGTTTCGTGCCTTCACCCACCACCACCACCACCACCACCACCACCCTAGGGCAGCAGGAGCCAGGGTGGCCTTGTGCCAAGAGATCTCCACAGGCCTACATAGTGTGGCTGGAGCTATTTATAGAAGCCAGTGGGGTCCTGTGCAGGGTAGCAGTCTTAGAGACATGTGGCCTCGCCTCCCTCCTCCCCAGCAGTGCAGGGGCAGCCAGGGGCAAGGGCGACATCAAGATGGCATCTGATGACTGAAGGGCATGGCCAACTGGGGAAAGATGGGTCAGATTCCCATCTGATAATCTCGTTATTGTTTACCATTTGCTTTCCATAAATAATAATAACTTGTATTCTGTCCACACGTCAGATGAACACAGCACCCACAGGTTGGTTGATGCCAAAGGGTGTGTGTGAGTGACTCCTAGTGGCAAGCTTTTGAGTGCTTGAAGTTTGCAGCACAGCCTGTCCACATGTTCAATGCACTCAGGAGGTGGGTGGGGGAAGAATACATAAACATGATCACATTTAAACCTCCTACCCACCAACATGAGGAAGGAATCGCCTCTAGAAAGAAACTATCCTTCATGGTAGTTCTATAATTTGTCCCAAGGACAGTCAGAAAATAAGCAGTAGAGACAAGACTAAAATTCTTGACCCCAAAACCCCTCATCCTCAATATTAACCAATACCATGTCCAGTGGACCTCCTTCATGTCTAGCCTGCATGCTGTTCATCAGCATCTAGCTTTTAAACAAGCATGTGCCCCATAAATCAGCCAAGATTATAGGTACACTGAACCCTCTAAGGATCTCCTTCTCTTTATTGAGTCTATCCAGAAAGCAAGTACTTCATTCTATGCTGTCTCTGCACCTGCCCCAGTATTTGCAGAGTCTAGTTGCCTCTTACTCAAGTTTTTCAACAGTGCAAAGGGGCTTCGAAAAGCTCATGGAAAATTGGAATGAAGTGATAGAATTTTCCCACAACCTTTTGGTAAGCTCCTGGCCTACTTTTCTCAGAACGATGATGGGACTGACAGTTGGTCAGAAAGACCCAGGGATACAGAGGTCTTTGCTCACCAAGCTATGCACCCAGGGCTGGGCTCAAACAGTCACAGTGCCTGTGTCTCTGATTTCCTGCTTCCAGATACAACATGCCTGCAAGATGACACACAGTCCAAGCGTGCACTGACCTCGAGGGGGACACTGGGTGGCTGGGAGTCTGTGTACAGAAAGGACTTCTATGAGATGTACAATTAATATGCAGAGCTACACATGTAATTAGCATAACAGACATATAAACCCCTATTTTCAAACTACTCAAACCATATTTCTACTTCAGATGTGTTCAGGTTTGCATAAGCAAAATTCTCACTTGCCAACACTTGGGGCAGCAGTGTCTAGCTCAGTTTTCACTCCTGAAAATTTTGCCCTGATTCTATTAACCTGTTTTGTCAGTGTCTTGTACGCTGTTTTACTTCACAGGGTCACTACGAGTTGGAATCAATTGGATGACAGTGAGTTACTGAATACCTGGATAAGTCACGTTCAAATGGGATTTCCACCTTCCAAAGATGCTTCAAATGAATTCCAAATGTGGGTCATTCTGCAAGTTATCAAGAAAATCCATTCCTTGGCTCTACAAAAAAGTTAAATCTGGCAACAGAAAAGGATAACTTTTAGCTCTAAATTTAAGTTATTTCTTAGCTTTGTGTGTATGGTTTAAGGTAGATCTCTTTTATCTCAACCTGAAAACATTCATTAACCTGTAACATTTATCTCAGCCTGAGAAAAACTTTTCATCTATCTGCTCAGCTGTCAACTATAGCCCCACCAGGGTGCTGCTGATCCTAATGCAATACAGCCACTCATTATTTGCTATAAACACAGACTTGGATGTTTAGGATTTTATAATCTGTGAAACAAACATGCTCACATTTAAGAACATTAAAAATACCAGCTATTCTACATTAAAGTGTAATTTGAAACTCAATTTATCAATTTTAATAAAATATTTCTCTTTAACCTTTAAATTTAAAATTCTATGAATATTCAAATATACTATACAGGAAAAAAAATCTAAAGTTTGCTTGCTTGCTCAAAATGTCAATGATTAATCTCTGAAAACAACACTCGAGCTCATGGCTCTGTGATTTTTTGTTAATCTTAGATTTGACAAAGCGATTACTGTTTTTAAATTAAGTCTGCCTTATTCCTCTCACCTTCCAACTGTTCTGTTTGCATTATTAAAATTGCTTAAATTCACATATAATCCCTCAGCAAGCAATGGGGGAGCTGGGGGCAGGAAGCCAGGACAGGAGAAAAAACACGAGGAAGCACCATCTCCTGGAAGGAATGGGTTAATACTGTGTCATTCACCAATCGGAATAGCGAGCACTGTCAAAGAAGGAAGTCCAGATTATAAGTCATTCCTCCTTTAAACTACATTATTGAGGCTCACTATTAATCTTGTGGGCAAGAAATACACAAGCATACGCAAGTACCCACACTCAGGATCATATACATAAACATTTTTCTCATATACTGATTTTCCATTTACCATAATTCTACTTAATTAATGGTGATATTTAAACATAATTAATTAGTCTAAACTCTGGCTTTTGGTATTTGACACACATTTGTTTCAGCAATAATTTGAAGACGGGGATCCAAATTTTCAAAGCATATATCATAAGGTTTTGTTGTGCTTTGTGGATTTATATTTTGTCTTGTTTTTAACATCTAAAGATTAAATATACCATTTTTGTTAACCAATATAACCCAAGCAGTTAGGGCAGAAGCAGTAGTACAGCTATTTTTATAGCTGATATTCTTTAGTTTAAAATACATAAATTCACTAAAGAATGTGATTCATCTCAGAGGATGGAAAATGGCTGCGTCTAAACACAAGACTCTCATATTAATACACATTGGATGCATTTAAATGCACATTTAAGTCTAGCTATTCTTGGCTTTATTTTTTTACCTCTGAATAAAAGATTAATTTGGGGAAAAAATCAGCATTGTGACCCGACCAAGTTCTACTGTGTTACAAAAACAAGCAGCAAAACCAAGATTTGAAATACAAAACGATACTGAAATGGTTTCTTTTGGTTTAACAAGTAACTTAATAGTAAATTCCCCTGGTAATCTCTTCTGTGTCTCCTGCAATACTTTGTCTCTCTACCCCTCACCCTAACATTTGAAATTCTAGAAATGTCAAGTACATGAGCTAGAAAGATCATACATGAATTAGAAAATCCTGCCAGCCTAAGAAATTAGTTCAAGGTTGATGAGCTTGAATGTAGAAGGCTTGGAATGTAGATCCAGGTTTCTTAATGCCCAAATTCTAGATTCTACCCTCAAACTGTAGGCTACTTCAACACAAGGGTTTCTTTGATTCCTTCAGTTTAAATATACACTATTTTTCCTGTAAGAAACTTAGAATTTTAAGGGGAAAGAAAAAAGAGCCTGGTGTGTTTTGAGTTTGTTTTCTTTTTTCTAGTTTTCCTCCACACAAGGCACAGCACAATACAGAATGGAAAGAGCAATTCAATAAGCACCAGTGCAGTGAAATCTTGAAAAAAACATATATATTTTTATTTTATTATGTTTATAAATATACATTTAATACTCAAATATGAAACAATCAGTACTATACTCATTTTGGGGGCATGAAATAAAGCAGACTTATTAAATGATGTAGATTCATGAAGGCAAACTAAGAAGAAAATCAATAACAAGAGTTCCTTGCAACAAAGCATAAAAACTTTCATGAATGTACAAGCGTGTTTTATACAACTGATGTATGTATGGGTTGTGGTAAGATTTGTATGAGCCCACAATAAAATGATTTAAAAATAATAATAAACAACTCATGGTGAATTAAAGTCCTAAATATTAAAAAAATAATAATTTGCTTCTAATCATAAAAAAAACACCTTTCACCCGCTAGAAGAAAATACAGATACAATGGTTAAGTGCATGGCTGACTGAAAGGTCTGAGGTTGAACCTGGCAGCAGCTTCAGGAGAGAGACCTGGTGAGAGGGCTTCTGCACAGAGTACCACCGAGGACACCCCCGGGGCATTCTATTCCGTCCCATGGGGTCACTACATGTCAAAATGGACTCACCAGCACACAACACCAAAAACAATGCCATGTCCCTAAAATAAGACAAAAGCAACATTCCCGTCACTATTACCGACCAATGGACATCAGGGATGCCAACTCTCCAGAGGAAAAGGGGCTGGGGGTGAGAAGGCGTGGGAAAAAGAGGGGAGGAGTCCGAGAGACTGGAGGAAGAAAACTCTGGGAGAGAAAACAATCCCCAAGGAATGGCAGGTGCGTGCGCCTGGAACCAACAGGCTGACAGGTCTTCAGTCAGTCAGGGTAGGATGAGACCATGGCATACGGACTTTCTAGGTCTGCGCTGTTCTTTGCTTTGGTTGTTTTTCAGTTGGGAGGGTTGTTTTGTTTGCCCTTTGGTTACCTAGTAAAGCCACTGTTTAAAAAATTCCAACCCTATCCCAGCTAATGAGGAAGAAAAGGAGAATTGTCCTTCTCAAGGTCTGGCCACTAGGAATGTCAGAGTGTCTGGGGAAGCAGGGCATTCCAGGGGCAGCTGTGGAGCCAGCTGGAGGGCCAGGGCGGACAGGCCTGGCCAGAGCAGGTAGAAGGGTCCTCTGGAGACAGGGCCTGGGAGCTGGCTGGGGCAGGACTGGAAAATCCCATCAAAGGGCCAGTCTGCCCTGTGCACAGAAGCTCTGTGTGACTTCCTCGGAGCATTGAATGAAAGAGGTCA